CGCTGAGCAGGGGGGCTGAGAGCAGGGTGAGAGTCCCTGAGTGAAGTGAGCACTTGGAAAGGGCTGCGAGAGAGGAAAGAGGGTGGGTAATGCTGCGTGTCACACTTAGGTGTGCTCCTGGGTATGAGTCCTGGCCATGCCACCAGCTGTGTGGCCTTGGGCTAGTCACAGTACACCGGACACTCAGCTTTCTTAACTGCGAAACAGGGCTAGTCATCTACTGCCCAGCGCTGAGTGGACAGTAAATAAGATGATGCACTTGAAGTTTTCAGGACCAGCTTTTGATACTTAGTGAGCACTCAAAAAAGAGTAATTTATGTAATTATCCTGATACATCAACCTGAGGGGAAATGAACCACCAGACAGAGAGAAACTTGAGAAAGACAGGCTAATGCAGCGGTTCTCAAGCTGTGGGTCGCGACCCCTTTGGGGGTCGAACAACCCTTTCACAGGGGTCACCTAAGACCATCGGAAAACACATATATAATTACATATTGTTTTTGTGATTAATCACTATGCTTTCATTATGTTCAATTTGTAGCAATGAAAATACATCCTGCATATCAGATATTTACATTATGATTCATAACAGTAGCAAAATTAGTTATGAAGTAGCAACGAAAATAATTTTATGGTTGGGGGTCACCACCACATGAGGAACTGTATTAAAGGGTCGCGGTATTAGGAAGGTTGAGAACCACTGCGCTAATGGTTCCTAAAGGATCCAGAGAGACAGGATATAAATGTTTGGGAGGATTGGTCTGAATAAGACAAGGATGCCTCATCGCAGGTTTTTCAAAATTAGAGGTGGACTGAATCATACAGGGCTTTCCACAGGAAAGTCAATCTCAGAGCACCTTCCGCGGCAAACTCCGTGTGGTTGCTGCCAGGAGCCTCCGTGCTGGACTCCTCACCCTCGCCGCCGCCACCACACTCCATACCTGCTAGTACCTGCTCTCCACACTCCCTACCTGCTATCCACACTCCCTACCTGCTCTCCACACTCCCTACCTGCTATCCAACCCTCCTACCTGCTCTCCACACTCCCTACCTGCTACCCACACTCCCTACCTGCTCTCCACACTCCCTACCTGCTACCCACACTCCCTACCTCCTATCCACACTCCCTACCTGCCATCCACACTCCCTACCTCCTATCCACACTCCCTACCTGCTCTCCACACACCCTACCTGCCATCCACACTCCCTACCTGCTACCCACACTCCCTACCTGCTATCCACCCTCCCTACCTGCCATCCGCACTCCCTACCTCCTATCTGCCCTCTGTACCTGCTATGGTACCCAGCTCAGCTGGGCCCTGCACGTCTGAGCCAGGCTTCCTGAGCCCCAGACACTCACTGAGTTATACACAGCCCACTCCTACCAAGCGTTCGAAATGAATTGCTCAGCATTCTCTCTGAAGCCCAGAGAACTGTCTTACACAAATATTTCCAAGGAATGTAGGCCCATCAGCCCTGAAACAAGCTAGTATTCGCCTGGCTCCTGACTCTGGACCCTGCTCTCCGAGCAGCCCCTTGATAAAGGGAGGGGCTTCATGGTGTTACTGGCACCAGAGCTATGGGAGTCCCACTCTGTTACTCCTTTCCCCCCCCCACTTTTGCCCCTAAAGCCAAGATTCCCTGCTGGGTATCATATTTTGAAGCAACCAATATTGTTCAATGATAATTTCAAGGCAAGGCTGCGTTTACCTTGTTATTATCATTGAGTAATCTTTAGTGTGCAAATCTAATAATACTTTCCCAAATTCAAAATTGATTTTATAATATTACTAGTGGCCCAGTACATGAAATTCATGCATGGGGGGGAGGGGGGGGGTGTCCCTCAACCCAGCATGCACCCACTCCAATCTGGGACCCCTCGGGGTGGGATTGGGCCTAAACCGGCAGTCAGACATCCTTCTCGCAATCTGGAACTGCTGGCTCCTAACTGCTCACCTGCCTGCCTGCCTGATCACCCCTAACCACTCTGCCTGCCGCCTGCTCACCCCCAACTGCGCCCCCACCCCGCCGGCCTGATCACCCCTAACTGCCCTCCCCTCCTGGCCTGATCGCCCCTAACCGCCTCTGCCTCCACCCCGCCACCATGGCTTTGTCCGGAAGGACGTCCAGAAGGTCTCCCAGTCTAATTAGCATATTACCCTTTTATTAGTATAGATTGCCAAACCCACCTTAGCCTATGGATACAGATACTGGTTTTTATTGAGTGCTTCCAATAACATCACACCACTGATTAAAAGCAAGAGCAAATCTAAAGTAAAACACTCAGGAAGCGTCTGTATTTCCACCGAAATTTAAAAACCAAACGTGCTGTATTCCAGCAGCCACCAAGCTGAGGACGTGGCTCCTTCCCAGCGCCTGTCCCAGGTGGCCCTACAATCTCAGGTGCTGCATCACATGGGCCACCCCAGACGCCCCCGCCGCTCCTCCAGGAGCTCGCCCGCCTCTGAGCCCCAGGCCGACCTCGCATCCAGGTCAGGATTAAGGCTTTACCTGGCGGAGCCCCTGCGTGAGAGGGGTCCCCGTAGTGGCCGTACAGCGGTGGAGAGAGGCCCATCCCAGACTGCGACTGGGAGTAGGGGGGGGTCGCCACGTAGCCCTGTTGACTCATGGTGAAAATACCATCCCAGGGGACAGCTCTGCAAGCGAACCCTGTAACAGAAGAGACAACGCTGTCAGCTTTGTCACCGAGAGGGCTGAGTCGCTCAGTGCTATTAAAGCAGTGGCTCTCAACCTTGGCTGCACACTAGAGTCACCTGGGAATCTTTTTAAAATCCTGATTTTAAATTTCTGAGGCCCAGAAATCAGGATTTTAAAAAGATTTCCAGGTGACTCTAATGTGCAGCCAAGGTGAGAACCACTGTATTAAAGGGAAGCGGTTCACCGTTTCTCTGGTTGGAGGACAGGCGCAGTCATCAGGCTGACGTCTCAGACACTATCTCACACCACTCCCCCCTAAAAAGCTCTAACCACAGCTCCACAGAGCTCGGGAGCTCACTTCTGAAGTCCTGGCCGAGGCATGAAAGCCCAACAGCTGCCCACCGCCAGCCTGTCGCACGTGTACCTGCTATTCTGTGCCCTTTTCCGCGGCCCCATGTCAGCCCAGAGCACACCACGGGCCAGGATCGTGTGCCAGCCCACTCACCGACCAGCATAACTGCCCGGAGTCTGAAACCAGATGTCCCAGCCCAGTGATGGCGAACCTATGACACGCGTGTCAGAGGTGACACGCGAACTCATTTTTTTGGTTGGTTTTTCTTTGTTAATGGCATTTAAATATATAAAGTAAATATCGAAAATATAAAGTCTTTGTTTTACTACGGCTGCAAGTATAAAAAAATTTTCCATATGTGACACACCACCCAGAAGTTAAGTTAAGGGGTTTTCCAAAATGCTGACACACCCAGCTCCAAATGGTTCGCCAATCACCAG